CATTGGTGTGTAAATCAATTTTACATCCAGATGAACCTTTTCATCTTCCACTGTGAGGTTGAGAAAGGGGCATTCGTCTGTAAGGTTCGTCAACAAGGCAAGAGGATCCAAAATTGCAGACTGTAATTTTTAGAGTTGGAGCAATTAGAAAGATAGCAATTTACAATTTCAATTTTTAAAGTGGTTTTTATAAAGAGAGACTAGGATAAAAAATCTGATGGAGCAGTTGAAGCCGAGATCTACTCATGGAAGGAAGCTATTAAAAATTTGATTTTGATTGATTTTGAGAGGACATTGGGTTGTGATTAATATCAACTCACATCGGGTCTGGTTACGTTCGTTGGCCAAAGGAAGTCAAACGTACTGCCCATCACTGGCCATGGCTGATAATCTTTCTCAACGTGATATTTCTCAAAATCGCCTCTCAGCTAAACAAGGTTTGTGGAATTAATCTTTAGTCAGCGATATAATTAATATAACTAAACCATGAGGTTTCTGTGAGTATTTATGTATAAAATAGAATACTATAAATGATTCAGGTTCTACTACAAGATTATCATAAAAACACTACTTTAAAAAAATGAACCCCATACTCATCTCGGTTTACAGTAATGACATTCAAGACTTTTGAGGACCATCATGACAACACTCACCCCTATTAGAAGTCCGAAACTAATAGCTATTAAAAGCAAAGGGATGAAAAATTCCATAAAGGTAAACCATGGTGATCGAATTTGTTGCAGCCAATTCTTCCATAGTAACAGCCGTAGCTGTGCCACTGCACCCATCCGACTAAAACTGTGCTTAGATATAAAAGATTAATTGAGATAGGGGATATTCACGATTTTATACACGATTCGTATAGAAACAGTAGCGAGAGCTTCCGCGAGTCCTGTTTTAAGAAAGAGAGAAAAAGAAGAATTTCTAAAAAAAAAAGGTAAAGGAGCTGTTTTGACTGCATTCTACATAAAAAATGCAACTCTGTGCAATATAATAAAAGCATGATGTTACTGAAGGCAACAGCATGTAAGGTTGTACTGATAAGAAAAAGGAAGTTTTTTTAGAAGCTTTAGCTGCTGACTGCGAAAGAAATGGAGCGATAGTGGCACAAATCATAGTGGAATCCAATATATTGATTGCTCAAAACAAAAAACCAACAGATG